CATGACAAGTCACTGGAGGGGAAAGCTGCCCATGCCAGTCTGTGGTGGCTGCCTTGCTCCAGCAGTTTGACTGGACCCGGGTCACTATCACAACCCTCAGGCTGTTGTCTGGTGAGATAGTCCTAGATCATATTCGGTGTTTTTTTTTTATAAAAGCCTGACAATCTCTAATATCTCTTCCCAAACCTCCCCCTCTCCTACGAACAGCCCAAACCGCAAGCAGCCCAACCCTCCAATATCAACGTCACTTACACGACAAACACAGTATGTCGTGGCTCATCAATTCAGTTGATTCGGATGATTTTCACCCATCCCATTCTGCCTTTGATGTTTCCTCTGCCGAGAGATTAATGGCGTGGGTCCTACTTATTTTGTTGTTGGCCCTTCCTATCTGCAACAGTCAGTGTTTTCTTTTTTTTCTGTAATCATTAATTGTACTTGTACTGACATGAAAGACTCTTCACAAAAAAAAATTAAAAACAGTTTTTTTCCTCTATAATATGAAGACAACATTAAGCGTACAAAAGCAGCGGGAGCTCGAGCAGCGGGAGCAGCGGATCGAGCAGCAGGAGCTCGAGCAGCAGCTGCAGCGGATCGAGCAGCGGATCGAGCAGCAGCTGCAGCGGATCGAGCAGCGGGAGCTCGAGCAGCAGGTGCAGCGGATCGAGCAGCGGGTGCAGCGGATCGAGCAGCGGGAGTAGCGGCTCGAGAAGCAAGAACGGCGGGCCAAGCAGCAGGAGCAGCGGAACGACCGGTGGTTCGAGCAGCGGGAACGGGGGTCCGAGCCGAAGGAACAGCAGTTCGAGGAGCCCGTGGTGCAGCGGTTCCGTACACTGGAGTAGCAACTTGCTGGACAAGTCTGACTACCACCTAGACAAACGAGTGAATTAGGCAATCTATAGAATAGGCCAAAGGGGGGGGGGGGGGTTGGAAGAAGAGTAAAAAAGGAAAAGGAGAATAAAATGTAATCCGAAATAAAAGTCAAAAAAAAAATCACAAGATGTGAAAAGAAAAAAGGATTCCAAACAAGAAGTGAAAAGAAAAAAGGATTCCGGATAAAGTGATATCAACCTTAACCTTCATCAATCCTTGGGGGTACTGGATTGCATACCTTGTAATCATTCACAATGAGAAGAGTGACTTCATTCTCATGGATTCTTGAGGCCTTGTCTTTCCTCGTAGGTCATAGGTTTCTTTTGACCGCATCAGTTTCATTAACAACTCGTACATGATTCATTGCTGAAATGACGAACAGCACCATCAGTCATCGCACCAACAACAGGCAAGTGTCTATCCGATGGAATCGTGGTCAGATATTTTGACCGGAGGCGCATCGAATGATAGTGTGATCTTGTGTGTCAATGGCATGCATGCATCAGTTTTCTCCGTTTCAATTTTTTTGGCGAATTGATCGAGAGAAAGGAGACGGGTGGAGCTAGTTGAAGAAGCAATTACACTATATCCCCCCCTCAAAAAAATCAAGCGAGTTTTTGATAATTTGTTTGAGACCGACTTGCTTGAAAATAGAAACAAGAACAATTCTAAGACTCCAGCGGCGGCGTGGGCTCTATTGACCGATGAATCAAGTCACGTCAGCAGGCACTGTTTTGGGTTTTGAAAGATAAGAAGGATTAGTGAGGTGTAAATGACTTGTAAATAATAATGATTAAAATGCGAGCTGACTTAGTGAATAATATCAGCACGGGTAGGAGCGATATCTTTGCCGATTTTAGCAAGGATAGACTGATGATCATCGCCATTGACGAGGGCATAAGATTTGACCTGTTTCTTGTCCTTGGCGAACTCAACGCAGTCCCTCTCCTTTGGCAGGCAAGGGGCACGTCGGCTTTTGCTGTCCACAGAAGCTGGGATTGTGTAGCCCCCCAGTAAAAATATGCATGGACGGACGGACCCCCCCTCCGTATTCACTATGGATTCCCCCCACTCCCGCCTTCGCACTCGCAGGTTTCGTCTCGATCTTTCCCATCGAGCATCGGTGACCACCAGGCTACATATTCACATACACTGCACGATTCGCTTGGATCGGCGCATACATTATCCAGAGAATGTCGTCAACTCGTCAAGTGCTTACCATCGGCGGCCTCTCTTTCCTGACCGCCGGATTGACTTATTGTCTGTACTTTGATTACAAGAGACGGAATGACCTGGTGTTTCGCAAAGAGCTTCGTACGTAGCTGTTTTGCATCATGACCAATCATTTGATTCCCTGTTCCTATGGAAATCGAACCACTAACATGCCTGTTTTGATCCTTGCATCGAATCAGTTAAAGAACAACGTCGACTGATCAAGAAAAATCAAACCCAAGACAGGAATGCCTCCCGCGAGTTGGAGAAAATGCTCGAAGCTGCCGTCGCTACCATCAATTCTGAGCCACTTCCAACGACTGTCGAAGGCAAGGAGAATTTCTTTATGGAGCAAGTCGGAATCGGCGAGATGCTGGCCTCAAGTGAGTTTAAGAAATCTGGATTTAGCGAAACCAACGCCAACTCATAACTCATCCCATCATCTCCTCCCCGTGATCAAGAGATGCCCCGGGGCGCCATGCCAGCAGCCATCGCCTTTTTCAAAGCTTACAAGGTTTACCCGTCGCCTGAAGAACTACTGGTCATCTACCAACGGACGATGCCCCCTGAGATCTTTGCAATCATTATGTTAGTCTGTTCCTTGACGGCTGCCTCTCTTCTCTTCTCTTCTCTTCTTTTTTTTTGATACCGAAACTTTGGATGTTATCTCCCTTGTTGATGTTTACAGCGAGATGATCAAATTGGACGTCAACCGAGTCGTTAATTCCGCAAAGAATTCCTATCGAAGTCAAGGCAATCGTCCCCAGTCTCGCTCGGAAGGACCAGTGATCGAAGAAATCACTGGTGACGAACGTGCACTGATCGACGCTCTGAAATCGGTTGGCGCCTCTCCACCCACTTCAGCGTCGGCAAAGCCGGCTTCCAACGAGTCCAAAGCACCCTCTCCCGAGTCTCCAGCTCCCTCTGCCGAGTCCAAACCACCATCCGCCGATGCCCCTAAATCAGCCACACTCTCCAAGAATTCATCAGGTGAACCTAAGACAGGGAGCCCCTCGGCACCACCCTCTGAAAACGGAAGCGCCACAGGCGCCAGCCAAACAGCCAACAGCTTCATCCTAGTTGACGATGATTACCCTGCTCATGGCAATACCTCTGAGCACATCGCCAAGCCATCTGAGCCCGAAAATCCGTCCCAAGACGACTTCCACAGTCCAAACCAACCTCAGGAAGAAGCTTCCCAAGTGTCAGAGAAGGAAAACGTCGATGATCAACCAGAGCAGAATACCACAGCACCTGCAGAAGCTTGAAAAAAAGGCGGATAGTCTCAAGCCCAGTCGACCTAAATAGACTTCGGAGATTCCCGAGCTTGATAATGTTTCCTTATCCGTATGTTTCATGTTTTACATGGTCCTGGACCACAATTAAACCAACGAACCCATCTGTGTGTAGCTTCCTCCAACAAGCGAGTTGTGATAAAACATGAAAAATGGATCTCCATATATCTATTTTCTCTGAGCCCATTTTTCTTGTCAGAGAATCTGCCCCATGCTCCACTTTCGATATCATATTTTCTTTTGATAGTGAAAGCTCTGAAATTCCTGATTTTTTTTTAACACGGTCATTCGCCTTTCTGTCGCACTTTTGACCTTGAGAGTTCATGAGCCTGATGAAAACAAAATTTCAAAAATAAATTAAAACGAGTCTCCTTTGAGTCAACTGTCTCAAGCAATCAGCTGAGGCTGTTGCTCGATATCAAGCAAGCAAATGCTTCTTTTATTTCCTCCCAGTTCAGACTGTGCTGGGTGCCAGGACCGCAGGTGACTGTCAGGCTTCGGGCTTCCGGTTGAGTATGTATCGGCTGGAAAATTTTCTGGTGGTGGGAAAGTCTCCCCGGTCACCGGTACGGCACCGTGGTACCCGTAGATTTCCGTGGTGTCATGAGCTGGATCCAGTCCTCTCGATTGTTTTGCTTTCTCCACTTGAAGGGACACTTCCTGTTTACTACTGGATACGCCGAACGATGGAAGCAGGAGACAACAAGAGTCTCAACTCGAACAACAACAACCAATCCAGCCAACCCACGCCTTCCTCAAAACGCGCCAGTCTCCGTCTAGCCAACCTCAATCCATCAGCTCCTCTTGCATCCAACTCCCTCGACTCGTCTTTGAAGAAGAATACTGCGTTCATCAAGCGGCTCAAGACAGGTTTACATGCTAGCGAAAATGTACAGGTTCTGATCAAGGAAACAGGGACACTAAGCTTGGATAAATATCTCTCTGAGATCTCGATCGCTCTAAATGAAGGCCTGGCGAAATGCAAAAGTGCCACAGAAATTTGGGGTGCCATCGAGGTGAGTATTTCCATCAACAGTCGGTCCCTCTGCCAGCCGTAATAACTAAATTTGTCTTAATTTGCTCAATCAACTCACCTACAGGTCATCTCCACGTTGCATCAACGATTCTCTTCCAGCTTTACAGAGCCATTCATCCAACAATTCCTCAGTGGTCTTGCGCTACCCAGTAAACAATACTTAGCGGGACTCGCTGCCGACCAGAGAGAACGTGAAGAAAATAGTAGGATTATTCGGCAACGAAGTTTGTTGCGTTGTCTAGCTGAATTCGACCTCGTGGGACTAGTGCGCGCGGTGTCCAAACAAGGTAGCACGAATGCTGAGGATGGGGAAACTACCTTTGGAGTGCTCAAAGACTTGGTTAGTTCAGATCTGCAATCGAGCTCTGCATTGCCATTCTTTTTGTTTGAATGACTAGTTTTGATCTGAAACATTTTGCTTGTCGTCTTTCCCAGCTGACAGCCAACAAGGAGGCTTTGTTGATTCCCCTACCGCTGGCTGTCTCGTTCTCAAAACAATTTGGATCCTTATATCTCCCGACTAGCATATCCTCAGGCGCACCAGCCGGACCCACTCCATCTGAAGCTAACAATCAAAACGGCTTATTCACCACCGATGACATGATCATCAAACCGGCTGTCAAAGAAAAATTCAGGAAGCTTTTTGGTCAATATTTCGATGCGCTCAGTCGCAAAGCAGTTTCGGATCATGTGGTAAGTTCCCTCAATTTCTCCTTCAAACACATTTTTTTTTTTTTGGGCAAATCACCGTTTTGGCACTGACCGGTTGTCTGTTGTCAATGATGGCTTGATTAGAAACTGCAAGAACTCGAAAAAAAGAACTGTGAGGCAGCCATCCGGTCCGGGCAAATATTTGATGATCGAGTTCAAACCTTCGAAAAGTTGACAAAAGATCAGGAAAAGCTGTGGAATGGAATTCTAAGGTTTGTGCTATTTTGCTATGTCAAGTTCAACAAAACACTGATAGGCTTTACCAATCAGTTTGGCCGAAACATTATCGCTATCCCCGCCCACGCTCCCTGGGCCTGATGCCGCGTCTTCCTCAAACGCCATCACGGGAACGGGACTGTCATCTAATTTTGGTGCTGGGGCCTCTGAGTTAGGTATCTGGTCAGACGAGGAAGAAAAGAAGTTTTATGAAGACCTGTTTGATTTAAAGGATGAAGTACCGACGATGTTACTAGGCATAAGCGCTGATGCTAAGAAGGAAACCGAAGTTAAAGCAGATCAACACGATGGAGACAATGACCAGAGTATCGCCCAAACTAAGCTCGAGCAGGAAATGGAAAAACTCGAAATGAAAGACTTGTCCACCGCATCTGATATGCCTGAGGAGCCAGGGGAGCTTAAGAGAGTAGATTCAGACGAGTTAAATCCAATTCACATCACGTTGCCGCTTCCAGAACTAATGATCCATCAGCTGACACACTTGAACAAACTTTATATGATCACAATAATTCCGACTGATACAGATTGAAACAGGGTTCATCTTCATTGGGGGCTACGGCCGAGCCATCTGCAGCTTCTGATACTCTGGCCTCTGGTCCGGCAGCCAGGCTCACCGCTTTGTTCACACGGTTGGACCAAGTATACAACTCGGATGCACTCGATAAGATCGCCGTTGAATTTGCATATCTCAATTCGAAGGCTGCCCGCAATAGGCTGATTAAAGTTGCGTGGTGATTGCTACTATCTGATATGAGTCTATTGAGCTTCTCTTAACCTTCTCCTTCTGCCCATCCAGCACCTAAGTGGCGTCAACAAAAATCGAACCGATCTGATTCAATATTTTGCACGCATGCTCGCGATTCTATCCAAATATATGCCTGATGTATTGAATGGAATCTTGTCACATGTACGGAATGTCACTATCCGCATTGTTCTGTCTACCCGATGCCCATTTTCGGAATCACTTGTTTATCTTACATAGGTTCACGATGAGTTTAGATACCTTCAACGAAAACGGAAATTTGTCGGTCAAGAGTTACATGCCATCAGAAGCAAGGTAAGATCATTCCAGCTTATTCATAAGTGCTAATATCTTGAGATATTGGTCAAGAACTGAATCTCTGTCTGCAGAACATCCGCTGGATTTCAGAGCTTACCAAGTTTAACCTTGTACCCTCGCATCTTATCCTGCACATTATCAAAGTCTGCATTGACGATCTGCACGGAACCAATGTGGAAAACCTTTGTGATCTTTTGGAAGGATGCGGTAGATGGGTGTTGAACAATGCAGAGACCAGAGTGAAAATGGCTCAACTGGTTGGTCAAGTCCACAATTCCTCTCCGCAGGTCGAAGTGTTAACTGAAGCTGTTGTACAATCAATAACTGCAGTTAGATCAAATGAACAGAAAAAAGGCATCACAGAATCTGGATTCCCGACAGATAATGTTGCTGGAAAATGCCTACTTCCAGGTTAGTCTAATTGCCCTGGAATCTCGGGAGATTTGTTGCTGATTAAGTATGATTCCTTTCAGTGCAATCCCCCCGATCGGCCTGTCATTGAACCAAAGCATCGCACACCGATGGAGCTTTTTATTCGATACCAATTATATGACTGTTTATCTAAGAAATCAGTCGATCGAACCATCAAATTATTACGAAAGCTGCATTGGAATGATCCTGAGGTTCGTCTGAGATTTACGGGGTTGAGTCTGACTTTTTCTATTGTTGAGATCTGATCAGGTCCTGTCTATTTCTTACTGATCCAATAATCCCTCTACTTCTCCATAATTATGTATCAGGTCGTTAAGCTGTTGAAAAATATCTTGACAAAAGTTTGGAAGATCAAGTTCGGCAACATTTACCTACTTGCTATTATTGTGTATGATCTATCTCGATTTCATGCGGACTTTACCGTCTCCATCGTAGATCAAGTCCTTGAGAATATCCGCCATAGTATGGAAGTAAGACGCCCTCAACACTATGCCTCTGCGATTAGCTTGGAGATAGATTTCCCCTCTGCCTCTCCAGCTGATCACCGCCCAAACCTGTTTGAATTTCATTCTCATAGATCAACATTTTCAAACACAATCAACAACGAATTGCTACAATCAAATACTTGGGCGAACTATACAACTACCGAGTCATTGATTCGAGGGTGATCTTCGATACTTTATGGTCTTTTGTGACCTTCGGCCATCGTGCGTCTTTCCACTTTTCAGACATGTCGCCCCAGCCAGGAGCTAACCCATCACATGCAGTCGACGGAAGACCGTGGCCAGATGTGGTTTCTCCAATAGATGCACCTGATGATTTCTTTCGAGTCCGAATGGTTTGCACGCTGTTGAACACTTGCGGACATTGCTTTGATCGAGGAAGCTTGAAACGTCGCCTCAATAACTTTCTCAAATTCTTTATTGTTGAGTTCACGACATTTCACAATTTGCGTAGACCAATATGGTTTTCAATTACTAATGTACAACCCTCCTCATCTTTCTTTCTTCCAGATGTATTTGCGATGTAAAGAAACAACCCCGATGGACATTGATTTCCTGTTACAAGATACTTTTGAAGTGGGTCGCTGCATTTCTATTGGGCTAGCATCATCCTATTGAAGTTGCATCATTCCCTCTATTCTTTATCCAGGAGCTAAGGCCGAAACTAAACATTTACTTGACGTATGAAGAAGCATCAAAGGCTGTACAAGAGATGTTTTCTTCCATATCTGATCGAGGTGTTTACCAACATTCACTTCAAGTTACTCTTACCTGGGAAAAGCACTGGGTGCTAATATTGGCCCATCACATTCGTTTTTAGGAGAGAAAGCTGACGAAGATGAGATGCAAGAGGATGAAGAACGCGGAGAAGCAGAGGATAAGAAATCCGAACCCGGAAACAATGAGGAGGGTGCTGTTAGTCAAAAACATTCTTGATTGCGTTATCATCAATGAAAATAAAGGCTGATATCAAAGTACTGATGCTAGCTGTCTTCTTTTTCTAGTCTGATTCTGATAATGATACCGTTATGGATGGTGGAGCAGGTCAAAATGGCGCGGCCTTCGAGGAAGAGGATCTCCCGCGGTTCCCTACGTCTGCAGCCACAGCGGAAGAAGAGGAAGAGTTTGAAAAAGAGCTGGCAAAAATGATAGCTGAAACTAGTAGCGCCAGTACTCAGACAGAGTCTAGTGCCAACGGAGCTCGAAAGGTAGAGCGAACGCCAATGGCTGGGAGTCTGTTCTCTGACAAAGGCCTACCGATTCTCAAGACTTTGATCCAGCCTTCCGCCAAGCAAGAACCGCTCGTCAATCAGGGCGAGGCGATGACATTCACAATGTTAACGAAGAAGGGCAACAAACAACAGGTACTCTTTCAGCTGTCTCATCTGTCCCATCTGCCGCTTATTCTGACATCTTCGGTCATTTCAACTATCTCTAGTTGAAAACGATGCAAATTCCATCCAACTCGTCGATTGCTGTCCACACTCGCGCTCAACAAATGCACAGTCAAGTCGAGCACCAGCAACTAAAAAAGTTGGTCTTAGATTATGAGATGAGGGAAGAGGCCAACGAGAGAAAGAGTAAGTAGCACCTTGCAAGTTTTCTTTTCTTTTTTTTTTGGACTAGGCTGAGTCGAAGAAGCTCATTGGTCATGTTCTTGTGTTTGTTATAACTTGACGTGAATAAAAAAGATTTGGCTGCCGAGATGGCCAGAAGAGGGGTCAATGTAAAGGTCCTTAAAGAGTAAGGATCGCCTCATTCGCCTCGACTGACAATACGATCGATCTGCACCGACGCCGCAGAACAGACACAGTAAAGCTTGTCTCCATCAAGGACGACTTACACACCACATCTCACTCCTTTGTGGGTGGTCAATGATCTTGTAACCCCTGCGCTCGAGTCCAGAACAGAGACGTATCAGACAACTGAAGCAGTTGAGGAAGTTCAACATCAGCTGGATTCTTGTTTTGGAGTCAAATCTCATGGGATATGTGTGGCAGAGGAACACTTGCCTGATTTTGTTGTTGAATGTTGACTTGCCAATAGGACAATCACACACACAAAGAAACCTTGGTTTCTTTTTCATTTTTTTTTTCTTTCTCTCTGCCTGTTGACTTGAAAATGGAGACATGCATACAAATGGCATGTGATTACTATCATCATCCGCCCAACGGTCTCCAATTCCTTACCATTTGGAATTCAATTGATCTTCCCCTTGTCCCGATTGTGCACCTTTTACAAATCATAACTCATCTCCTCTTTGAAAAAAAAAAAAAATCTTCAGAAATTGGCGCCAGTTGACATCTGGAAAGGTGTTTTGAAACTTTTCTTTTTGCTGCTCAAATGACTGGCTGAGTCGAATGGACGGTTGCTGTGCAGAAACTGTCGGTTGGGATAACCTGCAGTTATATAACAATAGCCGTAAGTTGTGGTTCAGGAACTCTGCTGGACAACTGGCGGCTGCTTCTTTTTCTTTTTCTTTTTTCTTTTTTTTTTTCTAAGTGATGATGCCCTGAAAACAGCTGGAGATGGGTTCAAGAGAGTCAAAGAATACGATTGGGTTTTGTGTCTCTTTTGGTTGACCAATATCAGGTTTTACCATTCCAAATCCGCCACTTTACCTTCCAGCTAGGATCTACAATCTCAGGCTTTTGATTCTGTTGTGTTCATCTCTTGCATCCCTGCCTAAGTGGTCTTCTTTTCAAGAGTGGATGAGGGTGTGGGAGAAAAAAAATGAAGTGGGATGACTGGATACATGTTGGTCATCAAGTTTGTGTTGTGGGTAGAATCAATGCGGTAAGTTTAACTGATATGATGCAATAGCGGGGTTCACGATAGCGTTTTTTGCTTCTCGAACCCGTTAATTTGTTTTTTCTTGCTCGCGCATTGCTGACATCAATTTTCTCAGCAAAAATTTAAAGTTCTGTGCTAAATTTTATGCATGCAGCAGTGCTGCAGCTTCTCGCGAGAACCAAGAGAGCTTCTTGCAAGAAGCTATTGTGAACCCCGCTAATGTTTGTATCATTGAGAATTCTGCACAGTTTCATGGCCAAAAACCAAGTTTATGACATCTCCTTGTACAGTCACCTACCAGATGTTTTTAGCCAGTTTGTTTTGATTACACATCCCTAACCCACCAAATTGAAATCATGAGACTTCATCAATTGGTATAAAATAGGTTTCAAAAAATGATTATGAAAACAAAAGTATGAAAAACTGCTTTTTGAAATTTGCAAAAAATATTAGGGCCTGTACCATGGGATTCAATTTTGAAAATTTATCATTTTTCCTGGCTTCTAAGTTCTACACAAAGCTTGAAAACAATTCAAGAAGTCTGCTGCTGAAATTCTTCACTTTTAGTCCAAAAACTATCTATTTGCAATGGTCAGTTTTGATGATATGAGAATTTGAGGAAGATAAATTCTAAGAAGTTGGATTTTCAAGCCCATATTGCTCCAAATGAAAAAATACAAATTGGAAAGAGTAGTATGGTCTAACTTAACCAAGTCCCTCTCATCAGAGGGGGGACGCCGTCCCGCAGGGAAAACCAGTGGTTTACCACTCCGACAAAGGAGAGCAGGGACTTAGATAAGCTAGAGTATGGTATGCAAGGAAAATGATAATAAATGAAAAAAATGAACTCTGGAAATTATCCAGAGCTCAGTATCCAGGTCAAAATGTGAGTTGAATTTGATCACACTGCCTTTTCCTGTTGAGATACCCGTATGTAGATCTCATATGCTTGTATCTGGGTATGCTTATACTAAGTCTATCAGGTCTACTCTTCTACCGGCCTCTCTCTAATCCCTTTTCCTCACTGAATCTATTACATATTCTCACTCGTCAATCTCATTGTGAGTCTCAGCGTCTCCCTGAGTTTCAGTCACCTGAGTTGCCCTCAACATTTCCACTGTGAGTCTTGTGAATGCCTCAATCCACACCAGTTTAAAACCATCTGGTATTTATCTTTTTCAAAATTTTCAATTATTATCATTCCTCCAGCATACCCTATTCCGATTTCCAATTTAACTTTTCTCCAACTCCCAAATTTCTGGGACGTCAAGAGGACCGTCTGCAGACGGTCCTCAGGACGTCCAACCCCGAAATTGGGAGTTGGAACACCAAAACCTTCAAAAGGTTTGGGATTCATTCCCCTTCTCAGCCACTGAGAGTGTATTGTCTCAATGGCCGAGAGGAACACCTCTCAGCAGCTGAGAGTGTATCGTCTCAACGACGAAGAGGAATCCCTCTTGGCCGCTGAGAGTGTATGCTCTTAAAAAGGCAAGAGGTATCCCTCTCGGCCATTGAGAGTATACACTCTCAGCAGCCAAGAGGGATTCCTCTTGGACATTGAGACAATACACTCTCAGCAGCCAAGAGGAATCCCTCTTGGTCACAGAGAGTGTACAACTCTTGCTGGCCGAGAGGGATTTCTTGGCTGCTGAGAGTGTACAGCTCTCTGCAACCAAGAGGAAGCCCTCTCGGCTGCCAAGAGTCGTACACTCTCAGCAGCCAAGAGGAATCCCTCTCAGCCGTTGAGAGCATACACTTTCAGCAGCCAAGAGGGATTCCTCTTGGCCATTGAGATGAAACACTCTCAGCGGCCAAGAGGAATCCCTCTTGACCCTTGAGGGCATCTTTCCAGCACCAACTCCCAACTCCACTGGGGTTTGTGGCAGATTGACTCCCAAAAACCCCTGGGGGGTTTTCATTTTTCATTTTTTTTATAAGGGAAATGGCTCCCAAACCCTTTTAAGTTTTTGGAGGTCCGACTCCCATGGACGTCCTGAGGAGCGTCCACAGATGGTCCTCTTGACGTCCCAGAAATTTGGGAGTCGGAAATCCAATTTCTGGGAGTCATGTAACTAAGATCCTTTTAGAAATTAGTTTTTCATATTTATGTTTTCAGCATAATTTTTTGAAACCTATTTTATACCACTTGTCAGCCTTAGAGCCAGCACAGCTGGCCAAAAGACTGCTTTTACCATCTTTTCTCACTATAATATTACCATAACTTTTTACTCATAAGATATTTCCTGAATCTGACTTCAGATATGGATTTCTCTGCTAAATTAACCCCTAGTCACCACTGACCACTTTTATCTTACTCTACTCCTTCTTATACTTTGCCTTACTTCACAGTACTTGTCTAAATTCTGATACTCAAGAATTATAGTCCCCCTCTACCACAAGTACACGTAATCATTACGTAATCCAACTCTGAAAATCCTGTCAGAGGATTCTAAGTTCGCATTTTTCAGGATCTTCAAGGTTTTCAGACTCACTTTGAACCAGAACCACCAACAAACCAACCAACCCCGTTACCGCTTGGCGCTTAACTTGTTGAAAGGATTCCAACTCCCAGTTTCTCCTCCACGTGGTCGTGCTAGGACTCTGACAGTTAGTATTCTTTCTTGTTGCTTGATTTCTCTTTTGCTCTGTTATCTCAGTCTCACATATGGTTCTTCAACCATATCTTTCTCTCTAACTCTCTCTCTCTTTAATCAACTCAATCATACTCTTCATCTCATTGTTTGGTGGTAAACCTGAAAACCACATAGGTTTCCCTTTAAAGAGCCTTGATCCTAGATCTAAAAAATAGTGGTTAGTTCTGAACATATTCAAACTAAAACCTTCTACAGTTTCTTTTGTAGAAGAGGCTAGTCTTTGACAGCTTATCAGCCATCCTACTAAAGGAAAGTAAGACTGCAGATTCAATCAAATAAAAGATAAAAAACAAATAAAAATATATTTCTCTTTTTCTTTCTATTTTCCTTTCTCTTGTCTTTCCCCTTTTCTTCTAACTTCTGGTTGTATTTCCCTTCTTCCTCAAAATCCAACCATTAGTTCCCCTCATTCTCTTGTGTCCTGTCGCCACATAAGAGGCTCAGGCTCATGCACACCACTTGCCTAAGTCTCGTGAATTCAAGTTGGTGGGCTGGGGTTGTGTAATCCAAACAAAGTGGCTATAAACATCTGAGAGGTGACTGTATATTAAGCCAAATTGGTCAGATTATTGGGATTCAGATACATGGAAAATACTAGAGATGGCACCAAGTACTTGCAACTTGTTGCCTTCCAACAAGTACTTGCCTACAGGTGCTGGCGCAGGTGTGGGTGCCTGAGATCTGAGAATTTCCATGCAAGTACTTGTACTTGCGTCGCAGGTGCACAAGTGTGTGTTAGAGGTGTTCTGGGGAGAGCAGGAGTGGATCTTCAGGGTTCTGGTTCTTGATGGTAGATTGCAAGATGAGGGATGTACAAGGTGTGGATCTTGAATGAACTCCAAGTTGAGAGTTTGTGACATGTGTGTAACAGACTATGTACATATGCAGCATCCCCGGTTCCTGTCCTCCACAGCTCATGACACTATCCCCCCTTTAATGCCCAAGCTTCCCCCATTGTAAAATACTTTTTCTAGTGTATGTTCCAAGCATTTTGGAGGCTAAAAAAGGCCTAAAATTTTGAAAAAAAATCTTACTTTTTGGCTCACAAATTCAGACATCCAAAAAATCCTGGGTTGGTCTATGCTGTCCGCAACTGCAGACAACAGGAAAAGATACCAAAGAGAAACTAAAAAAACGCAGTATGATTATGTGTATCATTTTATCTGAACATTATTAATTAAAAAAGTGAGATAGATGGATTTTAGGGATGAGAAGAAAGAGACAAAATTCCAACAAAGTGGCTATCTCTAGGCCTTGGCCTGCTGCCGCTCCAATTGGTTGCATGTTTGATATTGCCTTAATTTAACATCTAGGAGCCACTGCCATAATGGTGGGCCGCTAAACTAACCGTAGTGGTTAGTGTAGCGTAACATAGCGGAATTCTGCTAACCCTTAGCATAGCACAGTGGAATTCCGCCATGCCTGTGCTAATGCTATGTGTGTGGGCCCCAAAAAAGGGCCCACTATGCTGCGCTACAGCAAATTTTAGTGGCTTTTGGGCTGTTTTCGCGGCTAAAAGCGCTGTAGCGCAGCGTAACATAGCATAGAGATGGCCCTGGCGCATCCAGATATCTGGCTGCTTTTTCCAGGGAAATTTCCATCCAAACTCGCATCCGCAGCCACTGGAGGGTATCCGCATGGGTATCTTTGGATACCCTGCCTTTAAAAGGTTGGCAAGGCAC